AGTTATCTGTATTTTTTCTATTTTAAATAGTTTATATTAACGTTATAGCAGATAAATCCATACCAGTTACTAGACAGTCTATTCTGGAGAACATAGTAATTAGCTGTATCTTCCAAAGGTGCTTTTCCTACCGACCTAACTCTGTCTCCAGACCGTCTTCAGATTCTCCAGCTTCAACATCAGCTCTTTCCTGGCCTTCTAGCCTGCCAGACTTCCTTGCCAACACCAGACTTGCCATTGGTCAGACTTAGGTTAGGCAATTCATAAAGAAAGCTTTCCTTCCTTCTATATATGTAGAGATATATAGAGAAACAGAGATCTATAGAAATATAGATATTAAAAATACAGAATTACACAGATATCCATTCTATTGATTCTTTAGAGAAACTTATAGATTTTCACATCTCTCCATTTTCTTCATCCAACATCAAAGCGTTGAACGTAACTCATACTAGTAATTATGTATGTGTACTTGACAAAACTTTTCCTGTGTGCGTTTCAAAATTGTTTTTGTATCATCACAAAACTGAAGACACACAAGGAAGTTAAATCCTAAATTCCCGTTGAAATCTTGCAAGTGTGTGTGTTTAACAGATGAATTTATATAGTCCTGAGATGTTATAATACTAAGTCTTCTTATGCAGGTATTTGGGGTTCCTTGTAATAGCTTTATTTGCACAGAATTTCCATGGTGTATAATTCACCCATTTATAATGTACAAATGAACCAGATGGGGTGCCTGGGTGGCTCAGGTCGTAATTCCAGAGTCCTGGGATTGAGGCCCACCTCTGGCTCCTTGCTAGTTGGGGAGTCTACTTCTCCCTCTCCCTCTGCCAGGCCTCCCCCTGCTTATTCTGAGTTTCAAATAAATAAAATTGTACAACAAATATGCAAAGTGAGGTTTTTAACTGATTCTCACATCGGTGCAAGCAAACCATAGTCAATGTTGCATTGAACTACCTCTTAAAGAGACTTCATACTCTTTAACTATCACCATCCCTATCCTCTTATGCCTGTGGCTAGGAAACCACTAATTGGCTTATTTAATGTTTTTTCAGTCTCATTGAGATATAATTAATATATAACCTATTTTAATGCACCATATGGTTTACATATATTACAAAAGTTATCACCTCAAAGACTTACAGGTTTTCATGTGATAAGAATTTTTAAGAGTTGTCTAAGCAACTTTCGAATGTATTGTTAATTATATCCAGTATACATTGTATACATGCCCGTTATCTACTCACCTGATGATGTATAAGGTACTTCCATTCTATTGGCTATTATAAAGTTGTGTGATTATTTTTCACATACTTGTGAATTTTCTCATTTTGTACTTGTAAATGACTTCTAGTTTCAAACGCCATAGTGGTTGGGAAGGTGCTTGATATCATTTCAATCATAAACTTATTAAGACTTGTTGTGTGGTCTACCATATACTCTATACTGGAGAATGCTCCATGTGCATGTGGGAAGAATGTGTTCTCAGACGCTGTTGGATAGTGTTGGATGTCTGCCTGCCTCTTATCATTGAAGTCTGATGTTCCCTCACTCATTTGCTGTCTGGATAATCCACCCACCCTTGAAGGCACAGTATTGAAGTCCCCTTCTAATGTACTGCTGTATCTTCCTCTGTTCTTGTCTGCTAATAGCTGCTTCACGTGTTAGGTGCTTTTATGTTATGTGCATAAATAATTATAAAAGTTGTATCTCTTTGTTGAATTAACCCCTTTATTACTTTTTTCAAGGAAAAGCATTCATGTGAAAAATGTAAAAGAGTACTATAGATCAAACAAAATTAGTCTTTAAAAGTAAGTGACTCCTATGTATCCAAATTTTGACAAATCAACACAACCATCCAATGCACAAAAAGACTGTTCTTTGCTCAAGGAGCACAAAGCAATGAAGAGAAATGTCTTGTCACTACAAACTCTACATGAATACACAGACCTACAGCTTTAATGTAACAAATCATACCTACACGTGTTAGCTACCTTTCTCTAAAATTAAAGTAGTGAACATTTTATATTCAGTAAATGCATATATAACTTATACAACTGTTAGTCATAGGTAAGCCATGCTAGAAACTTTGAAGCAACTAGAATATAAGGGTTTCTTATGGGAAGATGTACATTTCCAAAAAAAAACCCCAGCTTGGACTAAATCTACTGTCACAACTAAGGCAAAGGTGACCCACAGGAAGCCTATCATTTGCAACTGAATATTTAAAAAAAAAAAATGCCCGGAAATAAAATCAGGAATCTTCCTGAAGGGCATTATGGTAACCTGCCTGAAAGTCCAAGTCATTTATTAAGGGATTTTAAATAGCAGATAGCAGGGGCACCTGGGTGGCTGTCAGTTAAGCATCTCCCTTTAGCTCAGGTCATGATCATAGCGTCCTGGTATTGAGACCTATGTTGGGCTCCTTGCTCTTCAGGGAGCCTGCTTCTCCCTCTACCTCCCCCTCTGCTTGCCACTCCCCCTGCTTGTGCTGTCAAATTAAAAAAATAATAATAATAACAGATAACAATGTAAATGAAATAACACGTAAAGAAACAATGCAATGTATAATAGCAAGATGTTAGACAACTGAATATTGTGGAAAAGATTAGCCTCTACAAGTTAGTTTTGGTAAATTATTGGCGACTTATTACAGTAAGCTGCCAAGATTTTCAATGCAACCGTATTTTTCCACACACATCAGAATCTGACAGCAACAGGTTTTCTCAAATTGTTACTCAGTGGTTTTTTTTCCCCCCAATCCTCAAAACACAGAAAAACAGTTTTGAAAATCAACTACTTATTTAGGGGACTCCTAACATATCAATGTTCATAAATTTTAACACAAGCTACAGCTGAGGTACCTGGACAAACACCACCAACATTTATGGGAAAAGGTACTGGTTTTGGAAGAGGAAAGTGTTACACAAGTTACATAATCATACTATTCCTGTCCTTCCAAAACTAAAACAATGAGGGAAATCTTTTTTGACATTCTGCCAAAAACCACATCATTATGAACACTGCACAAAGTGAGCCCATTATGTTAAATAAGCTTTGCCATGTTTTACTACACTCTCTGGCTTAAAGTTGATTTTCACTGATGTAAGCAGAGCTAACCTGCATTCTTTTCAATTCTCCACACCTGCACTTTCAGTCAGATTGTTCCTAAAGCTGAAGTGATTCTCTTGTATTTCTTTCTTTTCAGGCAATCTGTATCTTTGGATTCAAGAATTTAGGCCCTTTATATTTAAAGCCAGTATCAGTACAAGTATGGAGTTACAGTCTGGCTGTTTAGAATTTTTCATCACTTTCTTATTCATTAGCTATTTTGTGATTTGAGGATTTTAAAAAAGGGAATACTTAGATTATTTTCTCTTTCTGTCTTGTGTATCTACTACATTGTTTTCATTTTGTGATTACCATGAGGCTTAGTAAAGACATCTGATTGAAGTCTATTTTAACTTCTTACAACCTTAGTTTTGCATACTAACACGCTTTCAGGACTCTGGTAATTCTCTAAAAATATGGATGTACGAGTGTATGTCATTTTACAGAAGTTAGCTATTCTCAGATGTCTCTCAGGATTTCATTTCAACCCCATCAACTCATACTCTCTAACAATTACTATTGTGAAGACTGCCATCTTGTTTTCATTAAAAACACCAATTAGTAAAACATGTAACTGGTAATGGTCACAATTTTTTTTAGTTTTAATAAATGGAGAATGATGTTCTGAACACCTACTTCATGAGGACCTATATCAATGTCATAACCACAAGAGTAATATTCATTTAGATTTTCCTCATATTTCCATGGAAAATTAGATATGCATGAATCCCACCTAAAGAAGAAGGGCTTCTCATATCCCTGATGCAACACCAATCACCAACATAGTTTCACACACTCACTAGAAATAAATGAATTTTCTGAAGAGTTCTAAGAGTAGAAATACATTAATAATTGCATGTCACAAATCTCATACAGGGTCAATGGAAAGACAAACACATTTAAATTATAATGAAAAAATCCCCCTTCTATCTTTTGAAGCATAATAGCACATACATTACCTAATTAAATTTGTATTATTTTTTTACGTAATCTCTGAAGAGAATGACTGGTGTCCTGCTTTATACTGTGAATTCTGTGACATTTATTGACATCTGATTTTCAATTAAATGTTTCTATGTATTTTTCTCTTAAAAGTTCCTTTTCTTCTCTAAACTCTGATGTTTTCTAAAGTGTAAGAGAAAGTCTTTCTTCATTATGTTTGTACGGTTTGAACCAAGACTGCATTTTGGGATACCGAGTAAGGGCTGAATTCCAGTTAAAGGCTTGGCCACTGTCTTTACATATTACAGTTTTGCTCCTGTATGATAACGACGACGTTGAACAAGTTATGACTTCCATCCAGGGGTTTGTCATGTTCTTTCCATTTCTAGTATTTCTCCTCAGTATGAACTCTGTGATGCTGAGTTAAGTGTTGAGCAATCCAAAAGCTTTACCACATTCTCTCTTCTTTCTTTCTTAAGATTTTACTTATTTATTTGAGAGAGTGAGAGAGAGAGAACATGACACGGGGGAGGGTCAGAGGGAGAAGGAGACTCCCCACTGAGCAGGAAGCCCAATGATGCAGGGCTCAATCCTGGAACTTCAGGATCATGACCTGAGCTAAAAGCAGTTGCTTAACCAACTGAGCCACCCAGGTGCCCCACTTTACCACATTCTTTACACTTATAAGGTTTCTCTCTACTATGAATTCTGTAATGCTGGGAGAGGCTTGAGCACTAGGAAAGGGCTTGCCAAATTTTATATTTATAAAATCACCTCCACTATACATTCTCTGATAAGGAACAAGGGTTTAGCATTGCCTAAAGGTCTTGCCACATTCTTTACACATATATATTTCCTCTCCAATAGGAATTCTCTGACACAGACTTAAGGTTTAGCAGTCCTTCCAAATTCTCTCACAGTCTTCAAATTCCTACTGGAGACTTGCTCCAGTAGGAATTCTGTGATGTTGTGTAATATATGACTGCGGGATAAAGCGCTGGCCACATTCTTTACATTTCTAAGACTTCTCTCTAGTATGAATTCTGTGATGCACACTAAGGGCTGAGTTCCACTTAAAGGCCTTCCCACATTCTTTACACTTAAGAGGTTTCTCTCCAGTATGAATTCTTTGATGTTGAGTAAGGAATGACTGATGGATAAAGGCCTTGCCACATTCTTTACATTTGTAAGGTTTCTCATTAGCATGAATTCTCTGATGCTGAGTAAGGCCTGAATGGAGGATAAAGGCCTTGCCACATTCTTTACATTGGTAAGGTTTCTCTCCAGTATGAATTCTCTGATGCTGAGTAAGGCCTGAATGGAGGATAAAGGCCTTACCACATTCTTCACATTTATAAGGTTTCTCTCCAGTATGAAGTTTGTGATGTACACTAAGGGCTGAGTTCCACTTAAAGGCCTTCCCACATTCTTTGCACTTAAGAGGTTTGTCTCCAGTATGACTTCTTTGATGTTGAGTATGGCTTGATTGATTGATAAAGGCCTTACCACATTCTTTACATTTGTAAGGTTTCTCACCTGTATGAATTCTCTGATGTTGAGTAAGGCCTGAATGGAGGACAAAGGCCTTGCCACATTCTTTACATTGATAAGGTTTCTCTCCAGTATGAATTCTCTGATGTTGAGTAAGGTGTGTCTTCCTCCTAAAGGCCTTGCCACATTCTTTACATTTATAAGGCTTCTCTCTAGTATGAATTCTGTGATGCTGAGTAAGGTGTGAGTGCTGCCTAAAGGCCTTCCCACATTCTTCACATTTGTAAGGTTTCTCTCCAGTATGAATTCTGTGATGCTGAGTGAGGCTTGAGTCATGGTTAAAGGCTTTGCCACATTCTTTACATTTATATGGTTTCTCTCCTGTGTGAATTTTGTGATGTTGAGCAAGGGCTGAGTGCTGCTTGAAGGCCTTGTCACATTCCTGACATTTGTAAGGCCTCTCTCCAGTATGGATTCTGTGGTGTTGACTAAGGTTTGAATGCTGGCTAAAGGCCTTGCCACATTCTTGACATTTGTAAGGTTTCTCCCCATTATGAATCCTGTGATGTTGATTTAGGCTTGATTGCTGGATAAAGTCCTTGCCACATTCTTTACATTTATAAGGTTTCTCTCCAGTATGAGTTTTGTGATGTTGAGTAAGGTATGATTGCTGGTTAAAGACCTTGCCACATTCTTTACATTTGTAAGTTTTCTCTCCAGTACAAACTGTCTTATGTATATGTATTCTTGGTGGCTGACTAAACATGTTCCTGGGCTTCTTGTATCTATATGGGTTTTTCCCCACATGAATTACTGAATGATCACCAACACTGGGGGACTGGTTAAAATCTCTTTCATAGTCATTAAATATATAAGGATTCTCTTTTATATGCATACTGTTAGACAGAAGGTTGGATCTTTGATAAAAGACTTCCCCACATTTAATATGTTTGAAATGGTTCTCGGCAAAATGAGTCCTCAGGTGTTTATTAACATTTGAGCCTTGATGAATTTTTTTCTCAGATTCACTTCCTTGAGCAATTCCCTCTCCATTGAAAATGCTCTGGGAATTTGTAAGGGTTGAGTCTTTAGTGAAGGACCTCACAAATGGATCCCACTTAGGAGTTGTTTCTCCTTGTTGAAATCCCTGAAGTTTAGAAATATTTGAATGAAAGGTCAATCCAATCCTATTTTCAAAATTGTTCAAATCATTATGTTCATCACAGGCTAGGTAACTTTCCAGATGTTCCACATTCTCCATCCATAAATATGTACGTTTGAGTATTGGATTGGAGCTTCTGCTGACAGAAACACCCTGTTTTGCAGAACTAATGGACTTAAAAAGGAAGGTTTTACAAAATATTTTGTATCTTTCACCATTATGGACAGTGAGATTCTCATTATGGGCAGTAGTCTCAATTTGGATATGTCCTTTATGATCATTATCCCAGTCTATCATTAAATGTAACTTCTCAAGGACATTGTGCTTATATTGGCCCATTGACACATCTTGAAATGAAGCTTCTTTGCATGGCTTTGGCAGGAAGCTCAGAGTGCCCTGTGAAGATACAGCTGAAAGATATTGAAAAAACAGAAAAGTAAAGTCATTCCACTTAACTACTTTCAGATGAATATATGGAGGATGTCTAACATAGCAACCATAAAATCAATCAAAGAATGTCAGCACGATGGCTGAGTAGGAAGCATCAGGACTTTGTTCCTCCATGGACACATAAACTTGCACACAACATACTGACTACACAACATCACAGAAAAGTCTATAGTATTGTCAGGGTCTAACACAAATCACTCTCCTCTATATGAAATAATCATGAAAAGTACCATTATATGAGCCCAAAATCAGCAGAAGGAAGGAATATTTTCAAAGACTTATTAGAGAGAGAGAGCACGAGTGAGGTAAGGGCCAAAAGGAGAGGGTCAAGTAGATTCCCTCTGAGCAGGAAGCCTGACACAGGATTGAATCCCAGAACCCTGAGATCATGACCTCAGCTGAAGTCAAATGCTTAACTGACTGAGCCATCCTGGCACCCAGTGGAAGAAATGAAATTTAAACATGACACAGAAATGAACAAATACAATTTAGCAAAAAATAGGAAAATAACTAACAACAGAATTGGTTTTCAGAAAAAAAGAAAAAATCAAAACTGACAGACCATTCAAGTAAGAATGAAAGAGAAGACCAATTAAATCGGATGTAAAACAGACATAGTGTAACTCATACCACAGAAATACAAGTAATTATAAGGCAATGACACTAATTATATGCCAAGAAATAGATACCAATAAATGAGTGTAAAAACCAAAAAACATATAATCAACCTGGACTCCATCATGAAGAAATATTTTTAAAACTCTTCACTGATCTACAACTACTCAGTAGATTAAAAAAGTCATTTAAAATAATACCTAACAAAGAGAAGTCCTGTGCCATAGGAGTTCACTGCATAATTCCTACAAATATATAACGAGAAACTAGCTGAAATCTCCTCAATCATTTACAAGGAGTAAAGAGAAGCGAGACCATGAAAACACTCTCTGTGACACCAGCATTAACATGTTATCAAACCCAAAGGAGAGATGCTACATGTAAGGCCTACAAACTACTACCTGTGAGGAAGATTCCTTGAAAGTTGACAATAAAATAATCTAAATCATGAGATGCCTGGGTGGCTCATGGGTTAAAACCTCTGCCTTCGGCTCAGGTCATGATCCCAGGGTTCTGGGATCGAGCCCTGCATTGGGCTCTCTGCTCAGCAGGGAGCCTGCTTCCCCCTCTCTCTGCCTGCCTCTCTGCCTACTTGTGATCTCTGTCAAATTAATAAATAAAGTCTTTAAAACAAATAAATTGAATCAAAAGCACAATTTACCATTTTACAACATAATCAAGTGTGAATTCAAGGGTGTTTCAACATACGGAATAGTATCAATTTGAGACATTTACAGAATGGGTTTCAAAAATGGCAATGATTAGGAGCACCTGAGTGGTTCAGTTGGTTAAGCATCTAACTCTTGATTTCAGCTCAAGTCATGATCTTGGGGTCCTGGGATGGAGCTCATGTTGGGCTCCATGCTCAGTGGGAAGTCTGAGATTCTTTCTCTCTCCTCCTGCCCCTCCCCGTTTGGGAGATCTCTATCTTTCTCTAAAGTAAGTTAAGTAAATGTTTTTTAAAATGTCGTGATTGGGATGCCCAGGTGGCTCAGTCAGTGAAGTGTCTGCTTTTGGGAACATGACCTGAGCCAAAGGCAGAAGCTTCATTAATTGAGCCACCCAGGTACCCCTCAACTTTTTCTTTTTTTTTAAAGATTTTATTTATTTGTCAGAGAGAGAGAGAGTGAGCACAGGCAGACAGAATGGCAGGCAGAGGCAGAGGGAGAAGCAAGCTCCCTGCTGAGCAAGGAGCCTGATGTGGGACTCAATCCCAGGATGCCCGGATCATGACCTAAGCCAAAGGCAACCACTTAACCAACTGAGCCACCCAGGCGTCCCAACTTTTTTTCTTAACATTACACCACAGGGAAATAGAAAAAAAAAAAAAAAAAAAAAAAAGAAAGAAAAAGAAACTTAGCTGAAAGTCAGGAGGAGGAAATACCAAAGCGAAATCAGTAATAAATAAAAGAGACACCAGAAAAAAACAATAACATTGAAAGCAAAGCCCAGTTTTACCAAACAACAAACAAAACTGGCAATACTTTAACATTACTTAAGAAAAAAAAGGAGAGATGACTCAAAAATGAAAATGAGAAATGGAAAAGAAAATGATATAACACTTAACCACAGAAATATATACTGTGATAACAGACTACTATAAACAATTGTATACTAACAACTCAAACAAATTAGGGGAAAAAGGATAATTCCTACAAATGCGGAAGTTACCAAGTTTGAAATACGAACCTTGAACCTAAGAAATAGCAAGTCTTCTTAGACCAAATACAAAAATAAGAGTTGAATTTGGAATAAAGATAGTCTCAGTACAGAAAAGTCCAAGTCTACATGCCTTCATTGATCAATTCAAACAAATACCAATAAATAAATAAATAAATGATAAATCTTAGAAATAGCAGAATGGAGGGAACACAATCAAAATCATGCCATGAGGCCAGCATTATCCTGGTACCAAAGCAGGATAAAGACAATACAAGAACAAATATGTCTATTTTTTAAAAAGATTTTATTCATTTATTTGACAGAAAGAGCACAAGTAGGAAGAGACACAGGCAGAGAGTGAGGGGGAAGTAGGCTCTCTGCCGAGATGCGGGACTCGATCCCAGGACCCTGAGATCATGACCTGAGCCGAAGGCAGAGGATCAACCCACTCAGCCACCCAGGCGCCCCCCAAAAATGTCTATTTTGTCCGATGTAAGTATTGTTACTCAGGCTTTCTTTTGACATCCATTTCAGCCCCTCTCTTTCAATCTGCAGGTGTCTTTAGGTTTAAAAGTTCATCTCCTACAGGGGCGCCTGAGTGGCTTAGTCAGTTTAGCATCTAACTTCAGCTCAGGTCATGATCTTGGATCCTGGGATCGAGCCCTCCATTGGATTCCCCACTCAGCATGGAGTCTGCTTGTCCCTCTCCCTCAGCCCCTCACTCTGCTTATGCTTTCTCTCAAGTAAGTGAATCTTAAAAATAAAACAAAAATGAGGCTTCTATACGCAGCATATAGATGGGTCTTTTTAAAAAAATCCATTCAGACACCCTATGTGTCTTGACTGAAAGAAAATATACTATACACTCCAAAGTAATTATTGAGAGAAACGTGTTTATTGCTATATTATTCCTTGTTTTGTCACTGTTTCTGGAGATATTCTCTGATGCTCTCTTGTCTGTATCACTTTTGCTATCTTACCTGTACTCAAGATTCTGCTTTAACATTTCTTGCAGGGCTGGTTCACTGATCAAGCTAATTCTACCCCTCTATGGTAAACTTCATCAGCCTCTCTTCTGAGCCACCTTTTCCTTTCCTTCTTCCTGCCACCATGTCAAACATCTTCTTGGAAATAGCTCCCTCTCTGACAAATAAGGCAGGTACAATCTGCTTCTGGTTACAATGCTGGATTTCATAACCTGGACTCCAGTCAATCCACTGCCTTCAAAACTATCAAGTTTTACTGTTACCTTACTATTTCCCACTGTTCATGGTACAGGAGCTCTGTTTTTAACTCAGGTTTCCTCCTAAAATCTGACATTGCCTAATATGAGCATGGACATAAAAATCCACTGCACTTTCCAGTATTCCCCAAAGAATCCACTTACGGAGAAAAGCCTTAATGAGCCATGTGGCCATTACTACGTACACTTTAATGGTGAGACATGAGAGAGAGAACACTGCAGGGAAAACAACTGAAGAAGCTCGCACAGAAATGACTGCTCTTCATGTGTCTTCTGGGCTGCTCAGCCTGTGAGGACTCCAGGATTCACTTCCGAATGCTGGGTTCCTGCTGGGAGCTCTCACCTCTCCCCCATGTCCTCTCCTTTCTCTAGCATTGTGTTATAGATAAATTCACTTTCCTAAGTTTATATCCTCCCATGAATACATAGGATTACCCTAATGTGCAGAGTAGGTTAGCTTTCCTTTACATGCAACTTCCTGAAAAGTAGTTTAAGTGGGGCGCCTGGGTAGCTCAGTGGGTTAAGCCTCTGCCTTCAGCTCAGGTCATGATCTCAGGGTCTTGGGAGCAAGTCCTGAATCGGGCTGTCTGCTCAGAAGAGAGCCTACTTCCCCCTCCCTCTCTGCCTACTTGTGATCTCTCTCTCTCTGTGTCCAAAAAAAAAAAAAAAAAAAAGTAGTTTAAGTGACACATGTTTAGGCATATCTGTATCTGGTTTTTGTTCTTTTCTTCTCTCTCTCTTTTTAAAGTTTTTATTTATTTATTTGACAGAGAGATAGAGAACACAAGTAGGCAGAGTGGCAGGCAGAGGGAGAGAGAGAAGCGGGATCTCTACTGAGCAGGGAACCTGACGTGGGGCTCAATCCCAGGGACCTGGACTTATGACATGAGCCGAAGGCAGAGGCTTTAACCAACTGAGCCACTGAGGTACCCCAGAAACCCCAATATCTTAAAGGAACATCTAGCCTATCTACCTGAACTTTGCCATGGAAGGAGCTATCTCTATTTTCCTATATAGTGAACAAATCTGTGCTCTATCCAAAAGCAAGACACTACCACTATATTCCAAAGCTTTTTAATACACAAACATCAATGGAAAGACAAGAAGAAAAACTTCCAACGCCTCCATCCACAAAACATGGAGAAACATAAACCCACAGAGAATCGTCTCCCAACAAAATCCCCCACTCAGTTTGACCCCGGCTTGATTCCTGCCTAATTTTCCCATGTGTACACCACCTCGTCAAACACTTCTGAATCTGACACAGGATCTGGAAGAAAATCTATCCAGTCTGCATCACTGAAACCCTGTTGAAGACTATGATCTGCACGATACAATACAGAAGAATCGTGTGAACCCTTATGTTCTCTTCTCAATGTCTCCGTAGGTCTTGCATTTGGACAGGTAAAGAGATCCCAATAGTAAGAATCTACCTTAAAT